AATTTCGTTCAATCCTGCGTTTTGAAACGCCATCTCGAATTATTAATTGGACTTGATAGAAGTTGATTATTCATCGATTATTCAACCGTTGGAAAACTCAAAAATGAAATTCGAACGTTATGTTTTCATACACGTCGAGCGAGCTTATTACGTGACTCGGTGTTTATCTCTTTTCTGAAACCATTCAGCGGATATTAAGAAAAGGGAAATTAGGAAATTTCTCCGTGGAGAAGCCGTTCAAATATTTACACTTCCGGGGGGATGTTTCGTCGGTATGTTTTCGCGGAGCGTGTTCGTTGACACGTTAATTATATTTTCTCGCAAATACGCTGGGAACGAGAATATCGGCTCGAATAATACGCCTGGAGGTGTATTCGCTCGAATAATATTCGAGATTCATGCTACGAATGTTACGCGCGTAATTGCAGTAGACGAAGACACTTTCGTGTTAATAATTGCCGCATTCAATAACTTACTTTGAAAATGCCACTTCAAATGATCCACCGTTTCGATGACTGAAATATTCTCTACGAGAATTGTTTCTGTAATTTTCAAGGATCTGTAATGTAACATTTGATTGGAGACATATCAGAAATGCAAAATTATTCATTTTCTCTCAATATAATATCTCTCACTAAATATTGAACGTTGTCAATTACGATTAAAATAAACGAGGAGTAAATATATTTCTATTCGAATTTGGGCAATTAAATTCAATAAAAGTTTGGAATTCGCAATTAAAAGTAATCTCATCGGAGATTATTAGACTACAGATGTAGAGAGTAACTTCTCCCGCGAATATCTTTCGATTTTCACCTGTTCGCAGTGGTCAAAGGGAAGAGACAATCTGGCTCGTTACGGAATTAAGTTATCTTCCGCGAAACGAACAAATTATTAATAATCCTTTGAGAACGAGACTGAAGCCGCGGAATGCTCGGGAACGTGTAGAATCGTGGCGGAGCGGAGCGCTGCAGACGACAATCGCGAATATAATTGACAATAAGCGAAGTCCAGATTCAATTAAGTCGTCTCCGAGGGACTTTTTATCCCGTCATTGTTGCAACTTTCAAAAGCAGCGTAAAAGATAATTAATTGAGACAGAACGCGAAGTTCGCCTGACGAGGAAACATTCTGAAAGGGAGAAAAATACTCGACCTCGAGAATTTACAACGTGGAATCGTGGATTTTATTATTTTCCACTCCTGAACTTTAAGTTGGGATTAACCGTTTGTCCAAAGTCAAGTTGAAGAAATTTCGAGAACGAAAGTATCGTTCGAAGAACGTTTTTCATTATTATATTATACATTTCGACGATACTTACAATTTTAACGAGCAGACACTATTGCTACGACGATTGAATTTTAATTTTATTTTTCTCTTGCATTGTTTCGATCGTGCATTTAGCGTTTCGATATTCAATGCTTGAAATTAGTTAGAATTTCACATTGCACACCAGGAAATCCGATATCAAAATGCTCGGTATTAACTGCGATTAACATCGTGATTAGTATAGTATTGCATTATTCATTGCTAGTATTTAGTATTAGAGATCACAGTATCTAGTATTCATTTTCATCATTTTATTTAATTTCGCAAAGTGATATTGGATTAGCATTCGGTTCTAAAGTATCGCGATACTCAATTTTGCAGTTTTTGCTCATTCGTGTAAGTGTAACATTATAATTTGAAGTTCCGACGTACTGCGCGCGGGTAAATATCTATCGAAGTTTAGCGTGAAAGTATTTACACCACGGAATTCCGTCAGAAGCATTAATCACTTCGTCAAGCCTCTATTGTAACTCACAATTTACGATCTCCCTTTTGTCTCCCTCTCTGTATCGCATTACAACCACTTCCCACGTACCAACCGGAACATTCCATGACCCTATACTGCATAGACTAGCTGCTGTATTATGCAACTCGTGAACTTATCACTATCCGACAGTGACACTAAATCGCGAGACTTTCGAACCTGTCTAAACGAGATGAGAGAAAAGATCGATACTTCATTTATTATTTCCAATTATTATTATGATTGCCAATACAATTACAATGTAATCGAAGTAATAATGTTAACATTTTCATTGAAGAATAACTAATAATTAATTTATTAAAATTCGAAAGGTATAAAATTCTTGATGAAATGTACAATTGCAATTACGAGGTAACCAATCGGAAAGTATCATTTGGTAAATAGTTAAAAAGAAAAAATTATATTCTTTTAGTTCTTCACAAACTCTTTTTAATCTTCGTGGTTATTATTCAATTTAATTTGAAACGCATCAACAAACAACGAAAAGACAAGTTAAAAGAATCGGACCGATTCGCGAAGTAAATATAGAAACGCTTTGCGGGCGATCGTCTCCTGTAAAGCGTGCGTGCATAGATCCAAGAATATTCGATAGTAAGAACAGCGTGTCCCATAATATCGAACGCGTTTCAGCCCGGCAATGGCCACCGAAATTAAACGCCACTTGGCGGTCTAAGCGGAGAGACGTCCGTGCAAGGCATCTCTATTGTCCTCATTGTCAGAGACCATTTGCAAACTGACAGATTCCATTTCCAAAAGCAGCCGCGTGAATTAATCGCGCGTACCCTAATTCGATATGGGCCATTTCCCATTTAATTTCAATGACGGGCTGCCTCGTCCTCTGCCTCTGCTCCCTTTTCGACAATTAATTTCGAAAGTTGTTGCAGACATTTAATCATTACATATTATTATTTACGTAAATTTGACAAATGACTGTTAAATTATTGGCCAGAGTGACCGATGATCTAATTTCTGTTAGAAAGTGATTTATGATTGAATGTGAAACCGTAGAAAGATTCAAGATACCTTTGTCGTAAAATGTACAATCGATCGGACGATTCGGCATTCATGTTTTGTAATCTACGAGCAGTTTTTATTGAGGATTAGGATTATAATGGTTCGTGTTGCTTTCGCGAATGCTTCGAATTAATTTTGGAGTGGTTAATTGAGACCTTGACAGGGCTGCTCCATTTTTGGTGCAATGATTACCATTGCTGAGGAGTGTGGGGGTGTGTTTTACAAGCGAGGAGGTTTTGACCTGTTTCGAAAATGAGGTGACCCGTTTCAAGAACACGTTCGCGAATTACGTGGCTAAACTTGTCCGGAATATTTTCCGTTGTCAGTTGGTTTAGCATACATTCGAGGATTCAGAAGTTCAAAGATTCAATGTTCCGAAAAATTCGAAAATTCAAAGATTCTCAATGATACGAAGGTTCGAATATTTAAAAATTCGGATACTCAACGATTCAGAGATTCAGAAATTCGAACATTCGAAGAGTGTTTAAAAATTCGAAGAATGTTTAAAAATTCGGAAATTTAGATATTCAAAAACATTTAAAGATTTAACAGTTCGGATATTTAGAGATTCAAACAATAAAAAATTCGGAAATTCAGGTATTCGAAAGTTCGAACATACAAAGATTCAGAAATTCGAACTCGAAGAGACAAAAGTAATAAATAAAATTTGGAAGTTTGTCCAATTTAAAAATTTGGAGATCTAGATATTCAAGAATTCGAATATTCGGACATTCAAACGCTCAAAGATTCAAAGATCTGGATGTTAAAAGATTCAAAAATTCGGTTATTCAAAAATTGAAAGATTCAAACGTTCGAACATTCAAAGTTTCAAACTTTCAAAAACTCAGATATCATTTCAACAATTCGGGGATTCAGAGATTCACACGTTCGATAACTGTCAGAAGAATCTAAGATTTTGCCAATTATTGAACAATTTGATAGAGCAAATATTTATCACCGTGAATGCTTCCAGTCTGCGGCAAACCTCAAGCAGCTTAATGGTGTCGTATTCAAATCTCGATTAGGCAAATATCGCGTCAGACGATCGAGATGATCGTTTAGAAAAATGGATATTAGATTGTCGTCGGTGTTAAATTGCGGCAATCACGTCAACGTGCCCTCTAGGAGTCAGTGCTAACGACGATTGGATGAACCGGTGACGCGAGACGGATCGATCTTTCGCTCGGAGGCTCTCATCCGTGCGATTTTTCATAGTTTCGTGGAAGTGGAACGAAGCCAGACCATGCGGGGGAACACGAAAAGATACGATGTTTCATGGAAAATCGGTTGCAACCGCACAATGGCTTGACACGGATATATCTGATTGTTTCCTCCTTTGACAATTTCAATCTTCACTCTGCGACGACTAATTTTCGATGAATCTGAAGAATCATGCCCCATAAAATTCCGAATTTCTAAATTTAAAATTAAAGAGGTGTTTTAGATTAAAAATTGATTCTAAGATTCTAGGGTTATCTCGTGAGCTACGTTGTAAGTTTTCAAAATGCCTTTGAAATTATCTAGAACACTTTCGTCAGAAGTCCGAGCTATAATTAGTATAGATATCAGTAGGCACGATACATACCTGGTTCTAGGAATCAGTTTCCCGCGATAGCGTAAGTATAATCTTGTTGCAACAAGGCCTGTCTGATAACCAAACCTGGAAATATCGCCAGCGGTTGATGATCGATTTGAAATTAGACGAGGGAAACACGTCCCGTCGACGACGATTCGTCCCTGGCTATTGGCTCACGCGAAGGCATACTAATCCTTGAGAGTTAAACGTTTCTGGGTTAATCTGATCGATAGGGGAACTATGATAAACCCGCGCGCTCGCTCGCTCGCGATCGATCCAAGTTCGATCGATTCGTCTAAATCGCTTCGTTTCGCTTTAAAGTCGCTAATAGAACGACTGCTGTGAATCAAAAGACAACAACGTTGGTTGCTTTCCTTACTTACAAATTTTATTAAATAAGAAGAATGAAAAGTATTTTATTAAAAGAAGAATAAAGTATACAAAATTGAATCTCTAAATGAGAATCGTGCCACTTCGAGTTGTGTCGCTTGATATTATTAAAATTAGGAAACTATAAAAATCCCGAGGGTAACGAAAGGTACTCCAAAAGAAAGCCAACCCGAGAGCACAAACCAGACGCAGACTTACCTCTTTCAGCTTCCAAGTTAAACACCGAACGAGAGACTCGCGAGAGACAATCGCAATCGCAACCTGGATACCGTGATACCCGCAGTGATGACCCGGCGTGCCCTACGGGGATCAGGACTCGATCATCCCTGACCCGAGCCGCGATATTGCCACTGTTCTCTCGTCCTCGATCCGCTCGGTTTGCCAACTCGGCGCTGCTTCAAATCCTCTCCGATCCTCCGAGGCGAAACTTTATTTCCACGCCACATTTCAACTTCCTGAATCCCCTTCTCCCCTTCTCCCACCCCGACAGAACAGAGAACTCGGAAAAATGGACGACGACGACACGGACGAGAAGCGAGAGTCCCTGACTCTGGTGAACAAACTCTCTCGCAAAGAGTCGTCGAAAACGAGGCTGCTCGTGTCTTCGAAACTCGCGAAGCCGATGAGCACCAGGCTGGAGACGCGCCAGAGGAACTCGACCGACGATTCAGACACGGTGGAGTGCGCCTCGGAGAACGAAGTGGAGAACATACCGAGGGACGAGGAGGCGATCGAGCCCCTGGTGACTGACGAGAAGGGCAACAGGATCTCGGGTGGCAGGGATCGTCGATCCATCAACGTTCCCGAGGAGTCGCAGTCGATTGCGACGTCTAGACAGCAGATCGTGACCAGGACCACCAGCCTGAGAGTGAACGAGGAAGGGAGCAGAGTGTCGAGATACACCGGGACCAAGCTGGGTTTGTTCCACCGAAGTCCTCAGTCCTCGTCGAGCCAGGAGGAGTACGAGCCGGAGGTGAAGAGTCTGTCGAAGATCCAGAGGCAGCAACAGCAACAGCAGCAACACCTGTTGACGGCTGGCACCGCTGGCCACGTGACGGCCAGATCCATGGAGAGCCTCAGGACCTCGAGGAACTTTCTCAGCGCTGACGAGAGGTACATAGAGGACTCGAAGAGCTTGGAGTCCCTGTCACTGTCGTCCGAGTCTCACGTGGCCAGCTCCAAGAGCCACTACAGGAGCTTCCTGACGTCGTCCAGCAAGGACGTCAGGCGGATCGTGACCGTCGAGTCGAAGAGCAGCGACAACCTTCACAGGGAGGAGAGCCTGAACGCCGAGGTGAGGCGCGGCTTGTTCGCGAACACCGGCCTCGAGAGGAAGATACCGCAGCATCTCAGTCTGCCGCCACCTTCGAGCGTGTTCTCGCTGACGAGCCCCGGCGGCAGCGACCGGAAGATCACCATCCTCAGCCCGCACTCGCCGATCCAGTCGTCCGAGTTCCAGTTCACCGCGCAGACGCTGAAGAGCAGGCGGAAGAAGGCAATCGTCTTGCCGAGGTTGGTGTTGCCTAGAAGCGACTCCGAGGTGTTTTTAGAGTGAGTAGTAGGATAATACACAGTAGATGAGCAATTACAGTGTCGCGCCGTTTGGGAACTGAGTTAGCTTCTCGGGCTAATAACTTCGAACGATGTATTACATTTGTATGTCGTTGTGCTTTTCACGTTACGAGAATTTCGTTCCATGAAATTCAGCTAATAACTGTCCTGACGTCGAATTCAGTTCCAGTGATTTTTTCCACCGAATTGCGCGATTGTTCAAAAAATTGTCTCTTAAACACAGAGTTTAGCCAAGCTTCACGTGTTCGATCGAAGAACACCAAGGCGAGGAGATAAACAGACCGCAGGTCTTTCAGCTCGGCCCACTTTGAGCTTTTCGAGCTTTAATCCGACGTTACCGCTAATTAACTCTGAAATAAGGGTTCATTAGGACCGGGAAGTTTACGCACGACCGTTCCACTGTTCCCTTCTCAAAAGCGTTGACCAACGGGCTGCTTCCTCTTTCATAGGCAAACACCGCGAATGTTTAGAGTTAATTCGGATCGCGGATCGGGATAAAGTGAATTTTGTTGCGCGTAATTACGACCGAAGAAATACCGCGGGACGGAGGTTAAACTCTGAGTTTCAGCTGCGCGGAGATCGTTCATGAATATTCTCGTTAGTATAATATCTACGTGGAACACACGCTCTGAATGGCCTGAATTGTTTCCTTTGTCCGTTTTCGTTCGACGTTTCAGCGAGTTGTTTCAAGACACGTTTCGAGTGTTATTTCAGACACGTTTAATTGTTTGTAACGAAGAATTATATTTAGTGATTATATATAATTTGATGATTGATTAAAATGACGAGAAGAAATATATATTTCAATTGCCTTGTGTCATTTTTAAATGTTAACTTTTAAAAATGAGAATTAATTATTTAAACTTTCATTTGCGAAAATCAGGTTGATCAGTCGATAGGTTGACTCTTGTTGTTATTATCGTTACGACCCGGAATGATAAAGAGGATGAAAAACAGAGGGCTTTGTTAATTGTTCGTTGAGCTCGAGGAATTTGAGTGTGTACACAACGTTGCTCGTTAATTATTATATGCGCTAATTATTTACAATTGGTAGTCGGCAGAAATATTCATTACGAGGACAGGTGTATATCATTAATTTGGAAACACGCAAATTTGCTGATTAAATATTATAGTTGAAGGCATATATAATTCGTCACTCAATGTTGGTTGACGATAAATAATAAAATAGGAAATTTCGAAAAATCAATGCAATTTGAATTTCAATCGCGAGGCAGGAACAATATATTTGTGTAACTTTTTATTGTCATTTTTGACCAATATGAATCAGATTAATCAAAGTCAATTTAAACTTTCGAGTGTTATTGACAAATTGAAATTTGACCAATGACTCATTAGTCTCAATTTCCACGAAGAATACATACTCCGAAATTTCGCACGAAATTTATTCGATACACCACAGTCATAAAAAATTAAAAATTAATTTCATTTCTATTTACGTTTTAATCCTCCGGTGAACATCTCGATACTCACTGAGGCAAAGTCGAAATATTTCGCCTCGAAATCAATTTTAGCCTCAAGATAGCGCAAAGAAACACTCGAACAAACATCGTGAAATTCTGCTCGGTTGATAGTAGAAAGCGTACTGTTGGAAACCCGCTTCGTTTCGTCCCGATATCTCAATCCGTTCTCGAGATAGCGAGCTTTAAATTTCCGCGGCATCTAGTATATGGGTTGCACAACTATATCGCGTGTAACCCAGTTTTTCCCTGGAAACGCAACGTACGGTTGCTAGTGACTATAGCAAAAGAACCCGCTGACTCAACGGTTGTCACTGACCAGCGCACGCGTAACTATAGCGGGAGCCGGTTGTTGCGTAAATGCGAGAAAGAGAGGTCCGACTGATGTTGGAGAAAGACGCACCTACCTGCCACTAAAAATTACACTTCCCTTTCAACGACGATATCTCGGGAAAGGAATGTCGTATTTATACGACTCGGAGACCATATTAAAGGGAAGATTCCCACGCGTCTAACAGCGATCGATTCGAGACAGAAAAATTGGAAATTTCAATGAGTTTGGAAATTTCGAACGTATGAAAACGTTAATATTTCGGGTTTGAGAAGTTGGAAGCCTAGGATTTCGATAATTTAAAAACGTGAAAATTCAAACGCCACATATCCAAACTTGAGAATTTGGATATTCGAACACTAATTTTGAAAGTTCAGAAATTCGAGAATCCCGAGATTCGGGATTTCATTGATCGACGTTTCCAGTTTTCTAACAAGTTTCTAATAAGCTTCGTCCGAAAAATGAAAATATCAAGTTTTACTTATCGTTCGTCTCTGAATTGTCAGACAACGCTACCAGATAGATTTAGAGTAATAAACGTTCGGCCTGAATTTGACACGAGATAATATATCATTTTGCAATTGGACAGGTATCGCGTAACGGAAGGGCTTTCGTTCGAGGCATCCGCGTGTCGAATCCGCGAACAATCGATTCACGCTGCGTTCCGTTTGTTTGTGGGACGAGCTTTCGTCGCGCAGATACCCGTCGAATTAATTTGCAACGGTAGTCACGTTATAGCGGGCCATCACGAGGTCGTTAATTATCCTGCCTCGGCGCAATCAAATCTACCACACTTTCATGTTTCCAACGTTTTCAATTATTTCGAATTCTATTACTTTTGTCTTTTTTCCCTTTCTTTTTCTAATGGACAAGACTCGAAATTTCAATGAATCGAACAGTCTGACAATTGGACGATTTAACAACTTTGAAAATTTCGAGATTTTACAGTCGTAGAAAGTTTGCAAGCTTGAGGTGCAAGAGTTAAAGTCTGTCGGAGTAATTGGAAACACGGTGTTTGGTTAATCGACTCGAATGGTAATTGTTTCTGACACGGTGTTGAATGCGCTGACAACATTTCTGTTTTCAACGTGTCTGCGTGTCGTGTTTGTGCTTGATTTGAGGTTTCGAGAGTACAGCGATCATGAATGCGCGTCAGTCAACATTCCGTTCGCCAACGTGACGTTTTGTCACCGAGATTACCATTCAAACAGCTTCTTCTCGAATTTGTGTCACTCATTTGTTACTAATAAATCTAATTTTGAAGCTTCCAAAATTTAAAGCGTTCTCACGCTTGAAAACTCCAAGCTTCCAAAGATTTGGAACTTCCAAGTGCTTGAAATCCGAAAGATTGAGAAACTCCAAGCTCCCAAAATTCGAAAACCTGAAACTTTCAGGTTCAGAAATTTAAAAGCTTAAAGAGGTTGAACGAAAGTCAGTCGGGGCTGCTGGCGAAATTTAATTATACCCATCAGACGTTGCAATCCTTCCAATCTTTCACGGTCAGGCACACCAGTTTCTATCCGAGTGAGCAAATCTTCTTGTTCCTGTTTCAGTTGCACGACAATGGTAATTCGTCGCGCAAACGTATCTCAAACGGGCACCGTGACACAAAATAACCGATAACTCGATTAGGTGGCGTTGTTTGCCGAACGTGGATGGTCGTGCTTGGAACCAACTTCAACGGAAAGTATTTGTCTTCGATATCTTTGGAGATTCTCGATTCCTTTCTGCTTGATATTACAACTCAAACACGAAATTTTCTAAATTTGATTCGATAAAAATTCGATATATGGCACATGTGGTAAGGGGAATTTTGTTGTAGGAATTTGATGTAAAGAAACAAATTTTTCGGGGATTCTCAATAAACTCAAAAGTTTATTCTTGTTGGAGGTTTGATTTAGAAATTAATAGATTTTTTTTTTTAGATTTGTTACAATTACAGATTGGACATTTTACGTTTCAAATTTATTCCGTTTTTATTTTCATTTCGTTTCTTCGAGATCCGAGTTCGAAATTGGCAAAATTTTTAAGAGAAATTTTATTGCTGAGTTCTAAATTTCCTTGAAGACTTGAGTAAAATTTTTAGGAAGTTAGTGAAATTTCTCAAAAGATGATAGAGAGTTTATATTTTACATTCCTTTTTTTAACTGAGAATTTTTATAATATTTCTAGTAACTTTGTCGTAGCGTCAACATCGGACAATTTTGATACTAACAGACTCGAGCGCTCGCTCTTTGAATAGCACATTATCTTCTGTAGGTAACAGAGAATAGAGAAATCTGATTTACCAACGCAAAATTGCACCAGCTTAAAGTTTCGCACTAAAGGATGCAGTGGCAGCACCGAAAGTTCTATTGAAGGGTTTGAAATGGCGATGGATAATGCGAGGATAATGTAGGAAGTGATGATGTGGGTAAGGTGAGGAAAGGTTGTGCGTTTCGTCTCAGAGTCGCTGCCTAGACTCATCAGTGGGGCTGATGGCAGCGACTCCTTACCCCAGACGCTTGTTGTTGTAACTATTCGCTAGGATGGTCCACCCATCCTAGCGGTTCCGCACTCTGTTTGCTTAACATCGAATATCGGTTGACTTCGACGCTAGGCGCACAGCCACTTGCGGCTTGTGCAAGTTGGTGTTCGAAACTCGTACTCGAGGAACTATAGGTCGCTACACTATAATAAATCAATAACTAGATCCGAACAAGTCTCACTTACTCCTTCAGTGGTAAAGTAGTTCCATCTTAGTTATTTCTAGTTACTGTGGAAGTTTTCTCGTTTCTGTGGAAGTGACTTCGTAATTGTGTAGTCGATACAATACTGTTCCGAGAACTTAAGAAAACTGGCTGATATTGCTTCCTATAGTTATTTATACCCTCGGGATTTAGTTATTTTTCGCTTACGTTGTATTTTAACTCTTTCAAACTTTCCGAAATATTTCAGGATCGTCTATTTATTTTCTCTTCCAGTAAATTTCACGACAAATAATCTTTTTCAATCGTTCGTTTCGAAATAAATGATCAATTCGTGGAAACAAAATTCCCTAGGATTTTTCTACGCTCTGAAACTCGAGCAATTTTTTTCGATTTCTCGAATCAATCGAGGCAAATTTGCAAGTCACGGGAATGAAATTAATTTCACGGCGAGAAAGAAATAATTCCCCGAAAGTGGACAAAAGAGTTATAAAACCTCGAT